AAGAGAGTGAAACTGATTTTCACTGGGATTCTGCATCAAAGCATTATCATGCATCTGAGTATTCTGCAGAAGAAATTCAGTATGTCTGAGTAGTCCAATATTCTTCACATATCTTCACTGTGGTCCAATGAGCAACCACTGCCTTTTTTCTAGAAAGAGATGAGGAATGGCTATTTCAGCATGAAACGGCGTTAGAGCAGCTGAGCATCTATTCCTCAACGGTTCAGAGTGTGAGTGAGAGGCCGGCTGCTCCTGCCACCAAAGGTGTTAGTGGAGTGCTGGTTGGGAGCTCCTCCCAACACCTTGCCCCTGCCAATCCCATTACCTGCAACAGTGATCAAGCAGCTGTCACATCTGTCTCCCCACCTCCCATAGTAGCAGCTCAGACCTCTATACTGGGCAGTACTTTTCTCTACTCTGCCCACCTCTGGGTAAATAATGAGCACAACTGACAGCATAGCACCACTGTCCCATTCCTTCCTTCAAAATTAATTTCCAATTTCAGCTGCTATTGTCCATCCTGCTCTCTTATTCAACATTAAATCAGTTCTTCCAGCAAGTTTCCCACCTCTATATTTCTGTGGCAAGCAGAGAAGTGCAAATGCTAATTTCATAGAATCACAGAGTCACGTCATAGTTGAGGTTGGAAGGTAGCTCTGGAGGTCATCTTATCCAACCTCCCTGCTCACATAAACCCAGTGTGGTTTCACCAATGCTAATCAGAGGGGAAATACCACCTCTCTCAGCCTGCTGGCAACACTCCTCCTGATGCAGCCCAGGACATCATTAGCCTTCTTAGTTGCAAGGGCACATTTCTGGCTCATGTTCAGCTTGGTGTCCACCAGGACCCCCGGGTTCTTTTTTGCAAAACTGCTTCCCAGCTAGTCACACCCTCTCTTCCCCCAGCATATATTGGTGCCTGGGAGTTGCACTTGGTACCAAGGGAACTTTGCACTTCCGCTTGTTGAACTTCATGAGGCTCCTGTCATCCCATTTCTCCAGACTGTTGAGGTCATTCTGGATGGCAGCACAACCCTCCAATGTGTCAGATGCTCCAGTTTTGTGTCACCAGCAAACTTGTTACACTCTGCCCCATCATCCAGACAGTTAATGAAGATGTTGCGCAGAATTGGAACCAGTACTGAGCCCTGGGGTATACTGCTAGCTACTGGCCACCAACTAGACTTCAAGCCACAGATCACCACTCTCTGAGGTTCCCATTCAGACAGTTTTCAACCCTTCTCACCGTCTGCTCATTCAGCCCATACTTCATCAGCTTCTCTATGAGGATGTTATGGGAGACAGCGTCAAAAGCCTTGCTGAAGTCACAGTAGACAACATCCACTGTTCTCCCCTCATCTACCAAGCCAGTAATTTTAGCATAGATGTTTATTGAATTGGTCAAGCACAACTTCCCCTTGATGAATCAATGCTGACTAGTCCAATTTAATTCCCTGTCATTTATGTGCCGGGAAATAGTTTCCAGGATTAACTGTGGCATCACTTTCCCTAGGATAGAGGTGAGGCTGTACTTCGCACTGGTGAGGCCACACCTCGAGTACTGTGTTCAGTTTTGGACTCCTTCACTACAAGAAGAACATTGAGTTGTTGGAGTGTGTCCAAAGAAGGGCAACAAAGCTGGTGAAGGGTCTGGAGAACAAGTCTTATGAGGAGTGACTGAGGGAACTGGAGTTGCTTAGTCTGGAGAAAAGGAGGCTGAGGGGAGATCTTATCACTCTCTACAACTACGTGAAAGGAGGGTGTAGTGAGGTGGGTGTTGGTCTCTGCTCTGAAGTAACTAGTGCTAGGACAAGAGGAAATGGCCTGAAGTTGTGCCAGGAGAGGTTTAGATGGGATATTAGGAAAAAATTATTTACTGAAAGAGTGGCCAAGCATTGGAACTGGCTGTCCAGGGAAGTGGTGGAGTCACCATCTCTGGCTATGTTCAAAAAATATGTACACATGGCACTTCAGGACATGTTTTAGTGAGTATGGTGGTGTTGGGTTGATGGTTGGACTTGATCTTAGAGGTCTTTTCCAGCCTTAATGATTCTATGATTCTAAGAGTAGCCAGAGTTAGTTCTTCTTCCAAAAAAGTTCTGTTCTCCTTGGTTCTTTATTTATAAGTCTGCTTTGTAGATTGTCTGAAGCTTTTAGCTTTTTTTTTTTTTATTTTAGCTACAGTTATAAATGAGGAGAATGCAGGAGAAAACTTTCAGATGAAACTTTACAAATCTATGCATTTCAAAGTAAATGAAGCAGGAATCTGAGTAAATCCAAAAGTCACTAGCAGTGTCCAAGATTCCCTCATTTATTGGCAAGGTGACTTGGCTATGTGAGGTTGGCTGACAACATCAGAAAGTTAAAATGCCTTTTCTTGTACCACCTTCAGAGGAACCCATAAGACCTTCTGGCACTCTCTGAAGCAACCTTGGAACGCCTCCAGATCATCAATAGTGAAAGAGACAGACAGATTCACAGCTTTATCCAGTAAGGATGATGAAAATGGAAGTTGCAAAATATTCCCACCAACTTCAGGAAAAAAAGAAAAGTTAAATCAGTTTTCACTGGGAAAAAAATGGAGTTTCATAATAAAAACTGAATGGAAAAAACCTTGTGGAACCCAGAGCAAAAAAATCAATGTATTCAAAACCTATAAAGCTGCAGACCAGGATAACATATCTCAAGATTTACTCTAAACGAAGATCAAAAAAGAACCTGAGCATTCTGCTATGATTTCTCAGTCAACTATGAGAAAAGGAACCATCATCAAAGAAACTGAATAAGAGAAACAACTAAGAGTCCCAGGGAAAACATGCAGAGTTACTCTGAAAATTACTTCCCACGCTTTCAACTTCAGCTTTCAGGAGCACCATGCTGGAGGTTTTTTCCCTATTTAATCAGAATTTCGTACTTTACAGTATTTATTTAATAAAGTAAAAATAGATAGAACTCATTAAGGACAACAAGCAGATTAAACAAAAGCAAAACAATTTTCACTGCAGATGCCCAGATGTGCAACTATTTAGAACAAAATCAACAAACAATAAAGTTGAGATCTTGTGGTTAGTGTTACTACCCACAACGCTGCAAACAGTATAAATGAGAAGGTGGACTTACCTTTGCTATATTTCAAGAACACTGGACAATGATTTCACTAAACAAACCCTATTCTGGCAAACTCACAGCAGACATAAAGAAAGGTCATTCCAGAGGGACCATTCAAAACACAGTAGTGGTTGATGAACCAACTTTACAAATCAACAACTTTTAAGAGATTAAAGGTACTGGCCCACCATAAGATTGTTTAGGAACTAATCTCTCCTGTAAGCACCCAACAGTGCAAGGGATGGACTGGATTTGATTGGACAAGACCTATGAACAAAAAAAAAGCAATAGTTTTCAGTCTGTGTGACTGTATAGTAGACCTAACATTTTGGTGGAGACTTGTTCCAAGTTCAGATAGAGCTTCTCAAACTCAGCCATTTCAAATTTATTTATGTGAAAAACACCTGGTGAACACATTAGGAAAAAATGAACAGTTTTCTTCCTTATGAGAACCCATGAATAGATTTTAAAATACAGAAGAATTAATCTCTGGTCTGAGCAATGAAAAAAATTTCATTTTAAAAAATTAGGGTTTTATCCCCTGAAAGTTACTAGCAATTGAAAAATAATGATTCATTTTCTCTATTTCTTCTCCACAACACTTACTACCATTAATCACTGTGCAATGTGTAACAAACACACACATACATATAGTACCTAATAAGCACCCTTAAAATATGTGTCATTAAGGACCTGAGTGACTTTTTTGAAGTTTGGCTAATAGAACTCAGTGGACACTAGATACACCGACTTTGCCAAATTAAATATAGAGCAAGAACATACATAAATTATTCCCCTCTTCCCAGGACATATTCATTTAATTGATTGCCCAGATTTTACATTTTAACTATTTTACCATTCACCTGCTCTACTTATATTAGTATTTAGAAACAAAGAAGACAGATAAGTGACCTGTGAAAAGCTTTCTACTTTTTCATTACTCTCCAGCATCACAGTTTGAGCAGCTTATTAGAAAAACATAAGAGGGTAACAAATTCCATCCCCAGCAGTCTCTGGTTTCATTACTTTCTGACATTCAGTGCAGCAATGCTTTTGGCAAGAACATATATGCCCTCTATAGGTTTAATGTATTCTTACCACAGAAATATGGAAATAAATGAAAGGATCATTAAGTATTTCCTAAATAGAAAATTCAGTACTAGAAAAAGTATATTAAATCTTTCAACAAACATGTTTACAAACACACAAAGCAAATATGAAATTACTCTTTAAAACTTAAACATCCTCCCTATCCAATCCCTTTTTCTTATAGACATAATTCTTTCAGCCTGCACAGAGATTGCCCCAAGTATTTCCTTTCCTGAGCAATGTCCCCTTCCTGCCACTCTCTCCCTCTGTCCCACAGCTTTCCCAAGAACAGCACTGAAAAGTTTTTAGAAAAAGTGTAGCATTTTCTTCTGAGTTTATGATAACATATTATGCAAATTTATAGCACCACATACATGATTTGTAATAATGTTGTTACAATTATTTTAAAATATTTTAAAATTATTTAAGTATTTAAAACTATTTTAAAAGTTGGATCATAAATTTTATCTCCTTTAGCAGTAATAACATGCTGTTTTGGAAATACCATTAGCATTCAGTTCAATATACTATTGTTTATATACAGTTAGATCTACAAAGGTAGCTAAGACATGGGTGATAAATCTTGACCATTTAGTGACTTCCACACAACATTACAACTGAGGAACCAGCATTTTGTTTGTTCTCTTAAAATTAGTAAATTCTAATTAACCTTCTTTTTTAAAGGCCTGACTGTAGATATCATTCTACATCCAAATTTCTACTGTTAAATCACAGTAAGTATGACAATTCTGAATAAAGATAAAACACGGCTTTTTATTCCAAGATGCCTAATTCAGCCTTACCTCAGTGTTCTTAAATCCCACAGTTTGATGCCATCACCTGCAGCTGTGGTCATGAAAAGATTGTAAGCTTCGGGTTGCTGAGTGCTGAATGATGACCCCTGCAACATACAAAAGCAGTTGAAGATAACTATTCTCGTGGCACTAAATATTTATAGAACCATAGAATATCTCAAGTTGGGAGGGATCTCTAAGCATCATTGAGTCCAACTCCCTGCTCCTTGCAGGACTACCTAAAACTAAGCCACATGACTAAGAGTGTCATCCAGAGGCTCCTTGAACTCTGACAGGCTTGGTGTCATGACCACTTTCCTGGCAAGCCTCTCCCAGTGACAGAATACCTTCTCAGTGAAGAATTTAGTTCATTTAAAAATTAAACAAGTGTTTGTTAGTTTATGTGATAAAATGTTTGTCTGCACAGAAAGGAGCACAGAGGGAAGCTGGCATGTGGAGGAACTCCCATAGCCCAATGAGAGAAATGGAGCACTGCCTTGACCCTCTAAGTGTTGTCCCAGGACAGTCATGAGTGCTTTGGTCTAGGGATGACACCCACCATGATGCATCAACAGGAAAGGCTCTCTGGGTCATCTCACAGACTGATGGGGATTACTACCTATCAGACTATGGGATCCATTATGGGATGTAGGGGAAGATTATTTTGTGATTGCACAAGACATTATGGGATGTTTAGGGGAAGAAATAGGGGCAGGGAAAGGGAGGGATCAAAGTGGTTTGTGAAGGAACAAGTATGGGAAAATAGAGGGGAAAGGGAATAAAAGGAGCCCGTTGTGTGTAAAGAGACTGCTGGTCAGTGCATTGGGCCATGCCCTTTACCTGATCAGAAAAGCCCTTCTTGTCTTCTTATTGAACTCCACTTCTAGCTATTTTCCTGGGTGAAGGGACTCTCTACTCATCAGCATATATGTATATGGAGGATCAGTAACTGGATAGGGCACAACAAGAGGCCTGTGTGCCCTGGAGCAAGTGAGGGTCTGGGTGCCATCAACTGGAGTGGGGCCCTGGATCAGACTGCCTGTTGGTCTGGGGGCAAAGAACTGGAAAGGCTGGAGTGAATGAAGTTAAATGCCAGCAATTGATGTTGGACCAAGTATCTGTGGTCCAAACAACCGGAGCAAGTGAGGGGCAAGTGTGGGTGCATAAGCCAGTGTGTGATTGCTATCAAACTTCAAGTTGGACTGTTCAGCATTAGGTAAAGTGGCTTGGGAGCCAGGTACACAAATGCATGTGTCTTGGGGAGTAAAGCATCTGGAAGACCTGGCTACCAGAGGAACCAGGGTTCAGGCCAAACGCCAGAACATGGGTTCACATGCCCAGGTTCCAGCAGCTGGGGACTGCAGAGATCCAAGGCCAGTTACTGGACAGTTTGTGTCTAAGCCCAGATTCTGTAGCAATACACATTGTATTTATGTATATATTTCCCACTAAAAGACCTTCATCCTAATCAGACAAAGAGAGGAAAAGGATGAGGCTGTTGGTGATCTTTGTGTTTGCGTGAGTGCTAAGTGCCTCTGTCTCTGTTGATCTGGGTGGCCAGCTCTGCATATATGCATATACGTGACAGTTGGGTATACAAGCTCAGCCTCACTACAGGTTGCACCTAGGAGCATTCTCAACTCCACTGGGCTACTGGATTCATCTATTCCTAGTGATATTTAATCAGAACTTCAGAAGTGTTATTTGACTTTGCATAGCTGACAAGATTCAGTTCACACAAACTTCCAGGACCTATCCTATGTGTTTGTTATCCATCATTTCTTCATAAGACGGCTCTTCAAAAACTATAATTCCAAAAGCCTCTCCCTATAATATGCCCTACCTTAAGTTCACATCTGTTTGCAGTCATTACAAGGTCTTCAAAGAAAGGTTGAGGTTACCACTATCAAAACCCTTTAAAAGCAGTAAGACCTCAATACTTTCCCAGGTCCTTAGAGGAAGGTTTAGGTTACATTTTTTACCTTCATTCAAGACTTTCTTATTACTGGGGGGCAACAAACCATACCAGGCACTAATATTGCTCAGCTTCATGTCAAAGAAGTTTCATATCAAGACAAACTAAATATTTTATACTCTTTCACAGACATATCCAAAATATTGCTCAATTACACAAAAATGAAATGTTCTATGGCCATTCCCTAGCAAACCATAGATTTCATCAACTAATTAGAAGACTGTATCACTCAGAGAATGAATATTGAGTCAAAAATATGTTCACATTAAAGTAGAAAATACACATATGTAACACAAGCTGGGACCATTCTAACAGTTTATAGTTTAAAGGTACTTTTTTCAGATTGTAAATATAATTTTATAATTTTAATCTACATGAGAAATAAGAAAAGAACAAATACAAAATTTTAAGGAATTAACTATCTTGACAAAGTCAAACTACATAATGCAGACAACCAGAGTAGCCCAACATTTCATTATGCCATGTTTAGCCCTGGCATAAATGGACACACTTTCCATTGACTTCAGTAGCAATTGCTTTTATTCAAAACAGGGCTGATTTTGGCTTTTTACCTTTAAATAATTAAATCCAGTCTACCTTTAAACCTTTGATTTTTTAACATCCGCATTGGCAAATCCTGGCCTTCTTGCTGGCTACAAACATCTTTCTCCAGGGAACTATATATAAACAGTTAAAACTCCTTTCCTTTCTCTACCATTCACATTCTTGATTTGGCTAAATACATCACAGAAACCTCAAGGTCATTTCCTGCAATCAGTGCTTGACTGCCAGGAATCTTCTATTCGTTATGAAAACTGGCGTATAACTGGAAAATGCTGTAGTATTTAGTCAAAAGAATTCCCCAAACAGCAAGACAAAGTGGGGTACTCTGAATTAAAAAGAACTATAAGGAGCTTTCACTTACTTTGCTTTAAGCAGATTTCCTTCCTAAACTAAAGATCACCACAGCCTGCTCCAATAGATGAACTAAAATGCATTGTGCAACAGATTTCCCAACAAAGTCTACGCATTCTCACATTAGCTGTGTATAACTACAAAAAAATAAGAGTAATTGTAAAAGAGAAAAAGAGCAGTTTTCCAAAGGATAGTATTTGTTAAAATTTACAGAGCACCCATTCTTTTTGTGTTTTTGAAACTTTTACCCACCATCCCTTTCTTCAGTCAGCAATGATCACAGAGTCCAATACAAAAAGTTATACAGACACATACCCATTTACTTCATACACTCATCCTTTACTTTAGAATACACTAACAGTAATACAGGTAACAAAAACTGTAATCCCTTTGTTCCTTCCCTGCCCCGACATTTTGTCAGTAATTTACTTTTCTAACATAAAGGTGTACTTGTATCTTCAAATTACATTTGCTACTGATTATTACTGTAGAAGACAAGACAATAAATACTAGTTGGAGTAATATGCAAGTTGAATTTTATTTTCTTTGTGTTTTTATAGTCCATTAATTTATGATAATCTAATGCAAAAAGTAGCATATTCCAACATATTCTTCAACCTGACAGACAAATCACTTGCCTATACCCTATCATCTTCTTCATCCACCACTGAAATTCCTTCTCAGCTTCTCTCTAGACTAACTACTTTGCAACTTCCACATACAATTTGGCCCCAGGAAGGACATGGTTCAACAGAATCACTATCTCATTCACTAATTCCATATGAACATCATTGATATAATCCAAACAGAGCAGCTGGTATATGCTAAAGGCATCAATCAATAGATGTCTCAGAAACAACTCCACATCTTCCAGGTAAGCACATACCTTCAGACAGGTTTGTCACTATGGCTAGGAAAAAGTTAACTGACTGAAAATTCTGAGTTTCCCACTATATTTTTCAGCCTTCACATCATGTCCATTTCCTAATTAATGGACCAATGAATTTGAAACAAAAGAGCGTGGGCAGAAAATTAGAAACTTTGTTGTTTCTCTGAAAATTAATTTAATTATAACTGTGTTTGCTAATACCATCCAAATATTGCTGGTTGATACTGATAGATTCCTGTTCAAAGAATATGTTTTGCAGCACTACAAACATATTTCTCAAACTAAAGCTCTGAATCTTTGTGGTCTGATCTCAAATTGACATTTATTTCTGTATCTTAGAGGTGCCTAAACTCTAAGACAAATACAATTTTGATATTTCAATCAATTCATTTTACTATGTTTCTTAAAATTTAGTACGCAAAGCAATGGAACCATGAAAAGTCACATAATTCTTTGGTAAATCATTGATAATCGATTCTCATTAAGTGATCTTATGTATCAGACCAAAATCATCAAGTTGGAAATCACTGGTTGAATAAAATAACTTACAGCAATGTAAGTTATTATCAGCTTAGAATATTTGCTGGTATAAAATGGCTCAATAACATCACTTGGGTGTAATAACATCCTGCACTAAAATATCATAAGCAGTTTTAAGAGTAAGGTCTGAAAACCAGACACAGGTTCAGGGAAAAAAGTGGAGGGTCCTTCAACACCAGCCTGTCACTGAAAAGTGGGAGATTTCCATCAGTTTCCTCAGGTTGAGGGGAACAATGAACCTCTTTCCACCAGCTCCTAAGCAAACTCTCTGAAAAGTAAGCTATTACATGAACCTGCAGCAGTATCACATCTCCAAAGGACCAAGTATTTAGCCCAGTTTCCTGATGAAATGATGCTTATGCAACTGTACTGTCTGCTGATCCCATCCAGAATTTTTTTAACTTGCTTCACTATTTAAATCTAATCTGACAGAGAGAGAAAGGTCTTATGATAATTACATTTCCACAAGATATATGTAAATGAGTAATTAGCAGACATAAATTCAAACCAGCACAGCCATTAAGGAAAGTGATTTTGTTTGACAAGCCATTAGGCAGCCAACACAAGAGTAATTTAGAACAGTCAACTAATAATAAGAACATGACAAGAAGATAAAGTTGTGATAGGGGAGGAATGCTTAGGGAACATACAGAACAAAACTGAAAGTGTATATGGGAGGTGAAGGTTATAAAGAGCACAATAGTCAAATTGGAGTTACCTGGTGGATTTGGAAGGTGATATTTAAGGGCATAGGCTTAAAATCCTTTAGAAAGGATGCTTAACTAGTTTCATTGCTGCTGGAAGAACCTGTATACAAAGAAAGATAAGCTTTGTATCATCATTATATGGTATGCCCTGAGTACTTCAGGTGAATTTCCAAATTGCTTTTTAAGGAAACAAAAATACACTGAGGTTTGGAATAATAAACATGAATATGCTCAATTAAATCAAGATTATAGAGGTTCTAAGCAAGCAGTATAAAGCCCAAAGTTCTGCAAGCAATTTAATTGTGTAAGCTTCAATTATATATGGAGCTTCAAGAGCTAGGCATGTCTTTTGTGGTTTCCCCTCCTGGACTTCAGTAAGCTAAGCTGCACTATTTTGGATCCAGGACTGAGGGTTCTTTATATATCAAATCCTAAATAAATGTACTAATCTAAAGTAGATAACAAATAGGAAGTAATGTGCCACAGGTAATACAAATATATAAACAAAAATCTGGTAGCAAGTACACTACCCAGAATACCTTCTTCCCTAGGTGAGTTTTTTTCTGTTACAATTTTTCCCAACTTCCTCTTTCCTTCTACTGTTTTTCTTCATCCAGTACTTTAAATTTGTCACAGTCTCATAAGTCTAGCTCTAAAATGGCCTTTTTATAAGTTTCAGAATATGTCTCCCATTCTTGCTCTGATTTCCTTTCCTTGATGTTGAGAAAATAACAAAAATTCACAACACAGAATACTGTTATGTAGAATATAAGGAAAGACCTGAAGAAAACACAATCAAGTCACTGAAATACGATAGATGGAAATGTATAATGCAGTGTTGCATTCTTACATAATCAGCATGTACATGTAGACATAAGTGATTTTCAACCACTGTTCAAATTTAAAGTTTCTAAATCGAACAGGGTAGTATTAAGACATTTGGCTATTCCTACAGTTAACAAATATAAAGGAAAGATTAAGTACAGCAATGTACACTTTCCATCATTATGAGAGGCTAGTGTGCAGATATATTTTCACTGTATTCATTCTTTTTCATCTCACAATAAATGTCTCAACATAGGGCAGCTTCTTACTTAGTACAAAAATGGAAACTACTATCTTTAAAGATTTACCAGGCAAGATTTTTTTTCTTATATTTCTCTCTGCTCAGAGTCACCGTATTGACTATTTTTCCCTAGCCTCTGTGTAATTTTTATATTTTTTCTTCATCACTGTACTATTGAATTTTCCATTTCTGAAGTAATCCTTTGCATTAAAAGCTGATTTTAAAAGGGGAAAACTCTCTAACTGAGCTACTTCATTTAGTTTAAAGATGTTTAGAAATATTCTTCATACTAAAGTGGAATTCCCAACCTTCTGGGAGTGAGTTTTACTGATGCCACTCTCTTCACTTCCCTGCATCCTTCTACTCCCTCATGGCCATTACCTCCCCAAAACAAGTTCCTTCCAGTCCTTGCATCTGCCTCCTCTGGACCCTTGCAGGACACTGAAGTTCAAGGAGGTGAGAAGGGAAGACATAGTTGGGGCAAAGGAGCTCTGGGAACAACAGTAATCTACATGGTTGTAGATGACTGGGACAGTATTGGGGGCACAGGGGGAGGATTCAACTACAGTGAGGAAATTAAGTACAAGAAGGAGGAGAAAAGTAAGAGGTTGTAGGAGGTGGAGAAGTGAAGACTCATAGGTGCAAAGGCAGAGCACCTGTAATGATATAGAGAGATACAGCCTAGGTTCAGCTAGTAAAATAAGTTTGGAGATGTAAACTGGTCAAGTGATCAGAGAAAACAGGATCAGAGAAAACAGGATCAGAAACAGGATCAGAGAAGCAGGTTTCAACCATAGGTTGGTTATTCTGGAGCTCTAGCAAATTGTCAGGAAGCTTGAGACAGAACAGTCATCACAGAGGTTGCCAGTGAGAAAGGGAGAATAATGACAAGATAGAGGACAAGCTGGAAGACCCCACCTAATTGCTGCCACTGTTCTTGTCAAAAAAAAAGAGGGAGAAGAGTCAGTAAGAATGGGCAGAACCACCACCAGATGCACACCTCACCTGAAAATAGGGACCACTGCAGCAATTTGCTAGACTACCATAGCAATCACTCCGTGTATTTATTCTATATATGTACACTATATGACTATGTACTCAACATTCATCTGTGATATTTCACAAAGTGTTAACAAGAATAGAGATTACCTTGCATAATTCAAGCTTCAGATAAGGGACAAGTTTTCATCAGCTGTACTTACATCTGTACAGAGACTGCAGATTGAATATGTCAGGCAAGGATACAGTCTGATTTTACAACCTGATTACAATCAGGAAGATTCAAAACTCTGCTAAAGAAAGATAACCGGTAGCAAGTAAATGATTCAGTAGGGTGGTTTATCATCTTCAACATACCATTACTGGATCATCACACTGATAACTGCCACTGCAACAAGGGATGTGCTATTCTCTACTAAATGTACAGTGATTATTCTGACCATCTATGGTCATCAGAGAATTTGGGGGAGTGTGGGTAAACTCAATGATTTTAGTCAGTATATTTTGGGCATATTTCAAGAGGAGCAACTATAAAGAATTCTACTCTGGCTTCATTGCAATTACTCTAGATTTTGATAAGCAAAACAACAACAACAAAAAAATTCTTGATTCTTGAGAGATACAAGACTTTTAAATTAATTTTATTTAATAGGCCACAGGAAATTAGACAAGAGAGTAAGGAAACAGTTCTTCGATTCAGATGAACATTTAAATGTTTGAATGTTCCTCTGAACATTTCCCTATAGCACATTCTAGATTTCTGTAGTGTCATACGGATAATCTGTGAGTATCTTCACAGAAACATTGATTTAGCAGTAGCTTATATGCACATACAAGTAATATGACAAGTTTATTTAATTTTCACTCCCAGTCTACGCTGCTTGATTAATGTCATACAGATGTAGCAAGACTTATTATCTTCTAAATATATTTTCACTTTTAGAGTACTAGAATTCTAAAAAGAAACAGAAATTACATTAAAATGGGTGTCCCACCCCATCATCTTCTAAGAGATATACTTTGTAACAGTCAGTGCAGCCATTTTTTTATATTAATATACATATATATTTATATTTTTATATACATATTTGCAATATTTCCAGCTAAACTAGGAAGATTCAGAATACTCTTCTATTATATATCAGACAACGTCTGCTGTGAAAAGAACATATACCAAATTATAAAATAAGCTTAATCAAATACACAATTCAGGTTGAGATGAATTTCACATATTGCCAATTCTTGCAAACAATCTCTAAAATGAACCAAAAAAAAAATTAAAGTTGAAGTCATTACATTGCAAATTATATGTACTTGCTTACAGCTGCTGATGTCCAAAATCAGAAATAACAGAATACCATGCTGTTCATCTATGTAGAAACATAGATGTGTAACATAGATGTAGAACATCCTATATAATTTGCTAGCAGGTTTCTCCCACGCTTCACTGGAACATACCTTCCTTAGTGCTTTGCAGGACCTTCTAAATAGATTTGTTTATTTGTTTGTTTAAAGAAGAAATCTCCTGATCATCCTTCACTTACAACGGTCCAGGTAGCACCACACAGCGGTCTCGGAATTTGGGAATTGATTTGCATGAATTTTAACCAGAAAATACACTTCAACATATACACTGCAATCACTAATGATCATCCATTCCACAAGACAAGACTAGGGTTAGTCTGAAGGAAAATTTCCATAAATTTTGTTGTGTAGGCACTGGATCTTCAGCATCAACTGTTTCAATCCACAGATTTGCTTCTATTGTACCACCTCTCCTCACTAGCTAACCTTAGATTCCAGTATGTTTCACACTTTAAACTGGATGTAATTTACACACAGCATTCTGCATACTTCTATGCCTAGCAGCTTTAAACTATACAACTGCAACAAAATAGTCGATATGTAATTTTCCCATTGACTTATCTAAAGTATTAATACTTTATGTAACTGAAAAAATAGAGAACCTGGATTTATAATTTTCTCCAAAAATGGTCAGTTTTCTTTGCTATACCACATACCTCTACTTTTTTTCCCAAGTGAATACTCGCCTACAGCTTTAAAGTTTTTCTTGATTAAATAACCTGAAGCCACTAAGCTGACTCAGCAAAAAGAAAAGACAGAACTTTAAGCCTAGATGTGTTGCAAATAGTACTGAAATAGTTAGAACAATTTTAAATGTTTTACCAGATCACATCTCTCAGGAAAACCCACAAAGATTTCTACAAAAGTAGTAATAAGGAACTGTTTTAAACCCACAGCAGCTAGGACTTTCCAACTGGGAATGAAGAACCACACTCAACCAAACTTAACACAGTAGGCATTCCAGCATGTACGGTATCATAAGACCTCCAAGCATTCAAATGAATCTTCAAGAAAAAATAAAGAACAAGGATGAGGGGTTTTAAATCATCTATTCTATTGCAGTACTGAGCATTTTTTCGTTGTCGTTGCTGTTTCTGAATTTTTAGAATAAATCAGATGACTTCATATTCAACTCCATAAGAGAACAGTTACATAAGGAAAAGTTCCTGCTAAAATATAGTATTACAGTCTGGAGCAAGTAAGGCAAAGGGAAATATACACTTCCCTAATAGCAAGCTTGTTCAGTCATTCTCACTGCTCCCTGCCTTACCCTAGAGAACAAATGAGATCTGGGTGCTTTTATCACACAGACATGACTTGCTCATCCTCCCTAACATATAAAAAACTATTGATTACTATCAATTATATGTTTAGCCTTCCATTTATTTGTTGATGGAGTTGTAGTGGTACTACAAATAAAATTCAATAAAGTATATACCTTATTTTGGCAGATCTGATGAACTGATCTAGTATGAACTTCTGGTATCACTGCTGTGCTGCAGCCTGCGTTGAGGTCAAAAACTTCCAATGCTCGGTTGCTGCCAGCTGTAAGTACAATATCTGCACAGTGCTCTGTGTTAAAGTTAAACTGATCTAAACAAACAAAAGCATATAGATAGACAAGGTAACAGATTAGATATCAAGATTCTGTCATATCTACTGCTCTACAAGCAGCACCAAAATTCATACAGTCCCAAAAAGTGTATGTTCAAGGCTGAAGTTCAATACCACAAAAAAATGCATCATTTTTACTTAAAAGATAAAGAGTAGTAAAGAATCAAATGCTAATTACTAGAACTGAAGTTATTTCCATGCCATTAAATCCAAAGAACTATGAAGGAAATAAGAAATATGAAGGATACAAGAGTAGAAATCATTTACTGCTGAAAGGCTGGTAATCTCCATGGTCGAAGCCATGGAAAATTTCTGTACCAATTTGTAAACACTTCTATTCTTGTATCTGCAAAAAATATCAAATGAATGATAGTGTTAATGAAAAAAGTTGTGATTTGTGACCATCAGTAAACTCTCATTGGAATCACCAAAATGCTTTCTTTCATTATTAAAAATTACAGACCTTTTGACTCATTGCTGAACTCTATTAAAAAACTTGGTATTAAAACTAATTTGAATTAAAAGAAACATGATATTCCTATACCTAAGATAGATCTTCCATCAACTTGGAGCACTAAAATAATCCTGTATGTATATTGAAATTGTTGAAGAAAAAAAAAAATTGTGAAGTATCTATGATCAAAAACCAGAAATAGAAATACCACTAGTTTCAGTATAGCATTTCATGTGCTGATTATAGGGGCAATAAGAAAGAAAATGAAAAGAAAACAGTGAGGAAATAATGATTTCCACTTAGATGGGAACAGAACAAGGGGCTGATCACACACTACCAAAGGAATTTGGCTTCCCAACATGCACTGGACTCCTCAAGTCCTATGGAATATCTGCCAGCTCCATGCAGATGTTGCAGACATGCCAAGTCCTTTAAAATGGCTTCAGACTTATTTATAGAATGTAGAACTGTGTTGTGATTCAAACTGCTTAGATCTTCCTGTCCACTGAAATATATCAGCACAGACAACATGGTCCTGATCTTAAAACTACCAAAGCCAACAGAAAACATTCCTCCATGGATATGGATATGGATATGGATATGGATATGGATATGGATATGGATATATTGGGCAAGAAGAGTGTGATTTCCATAGAAGAAGTCACCTGAGGAATATAAACACAGTTGTTAATAACTATACTGGGTCTGGTTGGGGTGGAGTTAATTTTCTTCATAGTAGTTTGTATGGTACTGTGTTTTACATTTGTGACCAAAACAGTGAACAGTGTCTGCACAGCATTAAGATATTCTGTGTTTCTTACTGTGCCCCCAGAGTGAGCAGGCTGGGGGGGTGTGAGAGGTCAGATGAGGACATAGGTATGACCACTTACCCAAACTATCTAAAGAGATAGTTATAATATATAATAGTTATAATATATAATAGTTATAATATATAATGCCCAGCTCAGCAATAAAACTGGGAGGGGGGGGTAGTGTTTTGAAGGTAGTAATTTTTTACATTGTTTCCAATATGAATGCACTGCCACACACAGGAGAGGCTACTGTAGCATAAATGCACCCTAAAAATCATTTAAATTAGACTAACACCTCCTCAAGCTACAGAAAATCTTGTGATGGAGACAAAAAAAAATAGATGAACAATATCTTCTTACTACATTTTTTCTGGTTCTCCAATTCTATGTACAGCACATAATCTTAGCTGACAATCTTACAGATCAGGTACCCAAATAAAATAACATTTGTGTTGATATACTCAAAACTACAATTCTGTCCTCCTTTAATGCCTTAGAACATCTGAATCATAGAATCATAGAATCATAGAATCATAGAATCATAGAATCATAGAATCATAGAATCATAGAATCATAGAATGGTTTGGATTGGAAGGGACCTTAAAGATCATCTAGTTCCAATCCCCCTGCCATCAGCAGGGACACCTTCCACTAGATCAGGTTGCTCAAAGCCTCATCCAGCCTGGCCTTAAACAGAATCCTGACAACAGTGTAAATTACTAATCTCTGTAATCTCTTATATACTGCATACTTTGGGGATGTAATAATTTTTGGGGAATACATTTAAAGTACATAGTTGTTTTCAGAAGACTGGCATATCTTCAGAAATAAAATATAAAACTAGATTCTAAGATAAAAACACTCCCTGCATTGATTGCAGAGACTGATGTCTCTACTTTCCAGCAGATCAAAAGTCCTTTGCTGAAAGCATTTTTCGGGAGAAACAGATAAAGTAGAATCATTTTGATGACACACAAAAACTTCAATGCACAGAAGTACGTTACTATGTTAAAACCAGAAGATAAATAGACACCTAAAAAAACCATCCCAAAACCAAGAGCAACAACAACAAAACAGTTGGATGCAGATCTGACAATTAAAATTTTAAGGAAAATGGCTGCACATGACAAAGTCAAAACTAAGTGACAACATCAAACATCACAGTATAAGAGATCATAAGGTTTCAGGCTGTTAAAAGCATTTTTATATGCACTGTAAAAACTAATCTTCAAATAGTAGTCCCATTATACATTTCCAGACACAGCCTTGAGTTCAGTAAAATAAGAAAATCAGTTACATGAAAACAAAAATAATCACTTCATCTTCTGGAATGCATACAATCCATCATAACTGAAAAATATTCTCTTTTACACTACAGAGGAGGGTGGATGTCATTCACTGACCCTATGTAATGAAGCTTAGACATAAGAAAATACAAGCACCAGAAAATGTAAAGCATTTAAGAGATGGTTGTTGTTTGAGTGTTGTTAGAATTCATCTTGACTCATATACTTCTCATCTAGTTTCCATTCTGCTTCTGACAAAAAACAAAGAGTGTTAATTCTTTGCTCTAAAGGCTAAAGCTCAAAGGAAACAAGCTTAGAATATTCTTATTATCATACTGCTGAATCAGGTCTGTGCAGCCCATTTACTTAAAAAGTTTAAAGTGGCTTAAAGTGGTTTGCATGAAAATAATTATCCTGTAAAACATTAACTTTTCAGAACTGAAATGAACACTCTCTTATGTCTCATTAGACATACTAAATTTTAAACCCACTTTAGCACAGCTTTTGCTCTACCCATTTATAATATGTTCTGGTATAGTTTCCTATTTCATCAGAGTAGATATTTTATCATTAATTGCCTTATTGTATGTATGATTACTGCAACCAGTTGCTAAATATAATAGCTTTAAAAGGCTCTGTTTCTGGAATACAATTTTCTCCTTTTTAAATTCCTTTCAAATTGCTTATATTGATCTTTAAAACAACACATAAAACTTTAAAAATTAAATAACAACCCATAGATGTTTTGTTCTGCTCAAATTCTTATGTGAATTAGAAATTAAGAATTAAAAAAAAAAAACAACAAACTGAATAGCAAATAGTTACACTTATATCAGCAAGCACAACTGCTGACGAGTGTAGAAATTCAATAGTTCATAATTTTTGAGAATGTAAAGAAAATTGTTTAATTTGTGAATCATTTTGAGATTAATCATAGAAGCAGAAGTCAGGAGATCTGTATCCTATTCCCAGAACTGCAATAAATCTCCTCTATGACATTTTTAAATAAGGATATATTTAAATAAACCAGTAAGGAATATAACATTCTTTTTTCTTATTTCCACTTCTCAGTTTCACCTCTACAACTGAACCAATATTTAACCATTTAATTAAGTTGTTGTGATTCTTAGTTACTTAATACTTATGGAGAGTTCTTTGAAAACTCTCCACAGAGAAACAGTGATGCGATTTGTCATTGTACTGTCTTCACCTCTGAAATACAGTAGCAAATCTATTGGTTACCCAGACTGCATTGCCATGCCCTTCTAATTAGGGGTATAAAGCATGCTTTGGGGTTAGATCTAGCATCTTCTTGAATCACTTCCCTTCAAGCATTCTTCCAAACTTGACTCAGAAGGCAGAATGAAAGAGTTGTGATAAACAAAAGGAATGATACAGTGCTCCATAAAGGAAAGAAATGCTGGGAAGTGAACTGGAGGGAATCTACAAGAAAATGTCAAAGCAAAGTAACCTTTAATACCTTTTTTAATAGATATATATCACCAAACCTCAGACTGTTTTGTGGATTTGTTGTAATGTCTGCAATTGTCTGTTTGGTCTTTTAGCATTACATTAATATCCCAGAGAGTCTAATTGCATATTTTTGAGTTAGTGTTAATGCATCAAGAAATACTGAGAGCATTGCAATAACAAAATTCTGCTATAAGCACAATCAATCATACATACTTTAACAGCCTTAAACCAGGATATTTTATGCTTCTAACAAAGCAACTGGAGCAACACAGAACACAGCTGTTCAGTGCCCAAGTCCTTGCAAAATTGCTTGAGTGGGTTTTACAGTCACATCAAGTTCCATACTACCATTAGTTTCTGAACTAACTAGCTCAAAGGTAGTTCAGACAAGTCTTCCACAACAGGAACTGGAGTATGGATTTTCTTCAGCTTACTGGATAACTTCCTCTGGGAGGCATGGGTATTTGTTTTAAAAAAAAGGGAAATGTCTAGAGCCAGCACATTATATACTACAATAAAAGTTCCTTATTAATGCCTAAGCTCCCATGAATAGAAGGAAAAATTACCTTTAACTAAATCTTAAAACTGAAAAATAATCAGAAAAGGCAAGGATCGAAAAAGATCAGAATATTGTTCTCCATCTTCTTTTTCTAAGTTCCTCCTTGATTGCCTGTATAAATTTTAAGAGTTAAGAATGGTATGAGAGAAGTAGTTGTCTGCCTCAGTTTCCAAATACTGCTTGTTAATGCTATGAACAGATTTCATGCAAAACCAGGAACAGGAATCACCTTTCCTGCCTTTCAGGTTCCTCCTGTACGTTATATACTTTGCTACAGGGTAAATACTTCAGAACATGAGATCTCTGTAGAATCAGTTATGAGGAAAGAAAGTCAAGAGGAAAAAAATTATTTCAAAAGAACTTATGTCTATATTTCAGTATTTTCATTTTATTCTATTAGTTTTATCTTCCTAATGTAACACATTTACTATAAAATCAAAGCAGGAAATTCTGTATTCCTTTGTATTTAGTTTTCCAGTCTATTTACTGTATTCCCATTCCAAATAGAGTATATGATTGAAATAATAAGAGCCACAACAACACCCTTCATCAAGGATTTTGAACAGAAATGGAAGATAAAGAAACACAAATGACAGTGGATGAACTGTAAAACCAAGTAGGTGACTGAAAACCATAATAAATTAACCATTTTGAAGAATTTATAAACATAACTTAGATCATAATCCATTAGCTACTTTTTCAAATAAGAAGGAATTTCTGTTCTTTAAAAAAAAAGGTGTATTTTAAAGGAGTGATATAATTTGGCATTTTTTCTTCTTTTCTGTACTACTATTTAAAGCTTCAATGAATTCCACCTACCAGGTTCATGTCTCAATCCAGGAAAGCACTCCTGTTCGAAAATATATTTAAGCCTGTGATTAGTATGTTTTTCTGTGCAGCAGCAAAACTACCAAGGAAATAGGCCAGTTTTTTCCTATGTGAAGATGCAGCCCAGTACTGTTGAATATCATTAATAGACAGGACACACCATTCACATTATCAACTAATAGATTTCAATGTTGTAACCTTAATCCTGTATATCCTTTCACTCAAAATCTAAAGTCATAATATCAGACAAAGAAAAATATCTCTTCAAGGTTTTTTTTTAAATGCTATTGTGTCTAAACATGTCCATATATACCTGCATACATGTATATATATTTGAATGTAACAAAGTCTCATATACACAAATACTGCTGAAAACCAGCAAGAGCAAATGAAGTGCAGAGAAACTTAGTACAAGGACAGTTTTAGCTCCAATCATAAACAACAACAGAAAAGGTATATCAGACATTTCATAAAAGAACTGATTCCAAGTTGGAAAGAAGGAGCCATATAATGATAATAGAATAGTATTAGTAAAAAGTGCATGAAGGATGACTAACAATGAAGAAACACAATGACAAAATAGGATGATAAGAAAAGTAGTTCGATTCAATACAACAGTTGTGAAGTCAGTGACGATTATGAAAGTGATCTACTTCCATTTGACAGAGAAGGAAGAAAACAGTCACAGCATGTTGGAGTCTCCGAAAGAAAGAGTAGGTAGAAATATTCCCACAAGAGAAAGATTTGCAATAGCTACTCAAACATAAGACATTAATGCACACTAACATGTAAACATGCAGAAGGTCCCAGTGGTAACAGTAAAACAGTGTTTGCAGCAGTTACGGCATGCACTGTATTATTTGAAATGTCTTTTCTTTTTCTCTATTACTATTCATTCAATTTTTTACTTCTGTAATATTCCTGCCTCCCAGCTCACCTCATCACCCAAAAAATCCCAGATCAAACAGTACAAGGACTTTCATTGGTCTGTTAATGCGAAATTGTACTCACCGTTTGAGGTCATCCTTGGTTGTGTCTAGATGGAAACTTAATAGATGAAATTCAGCTCCACAACACAGCAATATAAATGTATCCATAAAATAAAACTGTGCAAAGCGTACAGTCTTATGGAACATTTCTTTGCCCTAAAATGCAAAGTAAATTTTTAAGAATAGATTCTAAGATAAGGAATATTTTTTGTCTGAGATTCCTGGTGTTAAGGCATAGTCTCCCTCTTAACCTTCTGTGCAGTGGCCCTTCCTATTTTTGACATCTATTACCCTCAAAATAAAGTTTTCATTCTACTTAAATTAGTTGGCACTGAAGTTAATAGTATCTGTAGTCAATTAAATCTAATACAATCTAGCCTCATATTCTAAAATTCCATTTGAACTGGGGAGTAGACTATAAAGTCAAGCAGAACTGAGATAGTGAAAATAGAATATACAGAGCAGACAATAAAACCAAAACTTCCAGACATGCCCACTAGTTTTGTCTACCAAGGTTGGAGTTTTTTTTTCCTTTCATATATTGTCATGATAAAAGCCTAATTTAAGAAAATGGAGACCACCCAAATCAGAGTATCAGCTGGAATCACCACCACTCAGTAGCTCTGAAAATAAGGTTGTATGTTCCTTCTACAGAACTGTTAAAATTGAGTAGATGAAAGTGCAAAACAGTGTCCTCTGTGAACCAAACTGACAGGAGTTTCTAATTACCAGAACTAGGGCAGGTTTATTATTGCAGACTGACCAGACCCTTAAAGTTCTGTCTTCTGAAGCAGAAACTAACCACTTCTTGTCATGACTCCAGCCAACAGAGTTAACTGCACCATCATGACCTAAGAAAAATAATAATGGAAATATGAATCCCATTTCTTGAATTTATACATTTCTCCAGAGTTAATTGTATCGTTTTAATATAATTATACACAATAGCAAAATAAATATTAAATACAGACTTCAATTAGTTGGGTTAAAAATGGTAACAGTAAACCAGTTATTAATTTTTTCTAAAGTTAATAACTAAAATTATTAATTTGATCTAAAATTATACAGATGTTGATCGAAAAGGTGAAAAAAAGAAGAAAATATGTCAAACAAAATTAACAAACTTTGGCCCATATTGTTCTAATCTGTTCAGATGATGGATGAATCATCAGTCTGATGGATGAATTTCACCTAGCCTTAAAACATTCAAAGTTCTTATGCTGCCCTCTTGTGCACATTTTCTCTTTAGTCAACTCAAGTTTTATATTTTAAAAATCAATTGTTTTAAATTATAGGAAGACTAATTTAATTTATCTCAGCAATTAAGATCTTCTATGATAACTTATATCTATTAAAGGGCTTATAAACAGTTATTTTAATTCTCAGTTACCAAAAACCTCTAGAATTTTCACCACAAAACTGCATAGGTACCAAACAAGTACACATGTAAGTACTATACTTATTTTGTTCCCAACACAAAAATTTATTTGGGGGCTTTGCTTTGTAAAACCATTTGGAAGCCTTGAATCATCTGCATTAAAGGAAACAAACAAACAAACAAAACCCAAACTATTTACCAGAATATACAAAACAGTTTTCCAAAGTGGTAAGGAACATGAGAAACTTTAGGAAAATCTGAGGTTTGGAAAATTGGAAAAGCCATGCAAAAAGCTTAAGAATTTCTGTGCTCCAGGTCCCTCAGTCCCAAAGCACTGTGAAAGAGATGCCAGCTGGCTTGCAAGGGGCCAGTGAGCTTCAAAACAGGTGTGGCTCAGGGTTCCCCTGTCCTGAAGAACATTGAAAAGGACTGCAGCTGGTTTTACAAAAAGACTTCTTCAAAAAGGCCAAGCTGGCTGTAGCTCTTTTACAACTGGCCAACATTACCTGCACTTCACTACAGGACACAGACACCTGAAGAGCTAACACTGAAGAGGAATGTAGAACTACCTAAAACTGTAACTGAGCACTTCAGGGAACAAAACTGAATAACTTAGGCTTATACTAAAATTGCTGTTGTTACAACACTCCTCCCTGATGGTGCATTACAAAAATATGAATTTCTATAATCAGTTATATTTATAAGTTTATGCTGCCTTGAAATTTATTTTTTTTTTATCAGTATTTCACAGAACTGAAACATCCCTTTCTGCAGCACATAATCTCTACACACATCCAAGTTAAAACCAGTTTTTTTAACTTCTTGATAATGGTTCACATAAAGAGAAGATGGATCTGTGATGCAAAAGACAAACTGCAAACAACTACAGAACACTTACTGTACGATGACAATTTACAGCCTCATTAAATAATTTTGCAACATTTATGTTCTACTTCATGTTCAGAGTAGCCCTGCTACCAAAAAAAAAGGACTTTAAAGTTCTTGAAAATCATTTACATCTTAGCTGCTACAGATTACTTAAGAAAGATGTGTTAATAATCTGAAGAAGCACTGAATTTTTTGGGCACAAGTTTAAGCTGCTGTGTACCAAACACAGTGGCAGTACCATATCATAATTTTTCTAATGCTTGTAACAAATAAGGGAAGAAAATACAGAATTTTTATCTCTTCTAGTTAATTGCATTTTTAGAAATCCTGATCTTCTAAAACAAAGTTAAATATATTCCAGATACATAGGGTCCCTTTGCACAAAATTACCGCTTTTGTTTCAGTACTACCTAAATAATAAAATTATGTTAATAAAAACTCAAAACACTATTCCTGCCTACAGTTTATGTGCCCTGCACAAATTTGCTCAAATTAGCCAGTGATACATCAAGAAAAACATTTTTTTAAAGTTTATGAACTCACTATTACAGAAGAAAGACGACCTTACTACCCTGCCCACAATGTGTGTTCTCATCAGTTTCCTTACACAAAGAGGAAAAGATCAGTGATGTTACCTCCATTAGTTGTCACAAGGCCACAGCTGCTTCCACAAAATGCAATTAAAATTACTTAAAAAGACCCAGTTTTCAGAAATCAGTTGTCAGAGTTTTTTACTTAGAAATAATTTTCTAAGATAACTTAAAATAGTGTACTTTCATACTCGTTAAAGTCTGCGAGTAAATGACAGTTATTTTCTATTATGAACTTCCACAGTAAATGAGTCCTGCTACATGAATTTTAAGTCATAACATTTACTGTTATTAAAAATTTAACAGAAAGTTCTTGTAGAAATTTAGAATTCTTTTTTTAAGGCTCATTTACAATGTTAAGTAATGAATCACAGAATCACAGAATGTTGGGGATTGGAAGGGACCTCGAAAGATCATCTAGTCCAATCCCCCTGCCAGAGCAGGAACCTAAACAATTTTACACAGGAAGGCGTCCAGGCGGGTCTTGAATGTCTCCAGAGAAGGAGACTCCACAACCTCCCTGGGCAGCCTGTTCCAGTGCTCTGTCACCCTCACTGTAAAGTAGTTTTTTCTCAAGTTTAAGCGGAACCTCCTGTGTTCCAGCTTACACCCATTGCTCCTTGTCCTATCGTTCACATGCATACACTTTTGCAGATATGGATTTCTCCGTAGGAATATTCTTTTTTGTTTTCAAATAGTTGCTCTTTAGAAGTCTGAAGCTGCAAATCAGACATATTTGTTGCCAACTCATCAAAGCCTTTTTTTTTTTTTGGCTAATAATCTGTTATAATATATTACTGCAATATACACATGCATTATCTTTACAATATATTGTCTTTATTATTCTATGTAATTATTGTAATATACATATGCAATGCAGATTGCAATATATATTGTGATACATCACTATTTACCTCCCAGAAAATTGAGAAATGGAAAAATCTGGTAGGGAGTTTAATTCCAGAACAAAATTAACCAATCAGAGAAGTAACTTCCTGAATCAGCAATATCCCATCTCCTCCATTCTTAAGGTTATGTTAAGTGGAATTTTTTAATTACTATGCCATTTTAAGTAAAACTCAATTATATACTATTTTCTTTAATGTAATTCATAAATTTACCTGAAAAAACATTATGTGTATCGGTGAGATTGGAGTTGAATATCAGTACAGTCTTGTCTGACAAGCCACAAGCCAGCATCTCTCCATCACCTATAAAGAAGAGTGCTCTATATAATTTTCTTTGTACAATATTTAAAGATGCACATAATATTAATTATTGTGATTCATACTTCACAAAGACTACTTGAAAGATTGTTCCAAGCTGCAGTTCCAAGTTCTTGAAGATGAAAGTTGCTATTGTCCCCAAAATATTTATGAAGATATAAATTTTTAAATACTTTGAAAATATTGTGATTTGCAGAGTGTACATTGACATAACTACACACTTGGTAATATATTTGATTACTAACCTAAGAAGTGGTTTTGGTATAGTAATATTTGTATGGATTGGAAATAACTAAACCCATTACAAGACTCACTTCTCCAAAGCAGTTAAGAAAAATACATTTCTTTGGCTTATATGGAAGAATTAATTTTTTATATTTTAATATATACAAATTGAATAACCTTTACATAAGAAATAGGAGTATTCTGATTCTTTCAAAACAAAACTTCAGCTTTTAATACACCCTAATGACACTAAGTAAAAGTCTAGGATAATAAATTCTTCAGTGAAAGAACTTGTTAGACTGCTAAATTGCAAGTTGTAGTGGGAAAGTCATAGAATAAATCCAAAACGAAACAAAACATAAAATCAGAGAAGAATTAGAATCCTTTTGCATACTTGTTAGCAGTTTGCATGGTTTTGCAAGTTAAAAAATGATGATCGAACAATACATGGTATTGCCAGAAAGTTTTCTGGCAATTTACCTGGTAAATTCATGGTCTTAATAAAGCATAACAAACACATTTTGTTTTTCTTACTGCACACTGACACAACCGTACATTTTATAAAGCCTGTACATACCAGAATACTGAATGCAACAAATTGGGGTTGGTTTACAAGTAACAGATATCTCTTTCTCATATTTGACTGGAGGATAACTTTCCAATGGATATTCTTTATTTTTACTACAAAGAAGGAAAAAGAGAAAGAAAATAAAAAATATTAAAATATCTAAACCCAGTACATTTTAATTTCAGTTATGAAATACATGTGCTTTGGGAGCTATTCTGAAGATCTTTATATAAATATTTTCTTGAAAACTTATATTAAATCCAAGATAAGAGGTAGAATGAATTTTAACTTCTCATACTTAAATTACTACTATCACCAACTGTTATGAATTCATGAGATCAATAATTACCATGGACTTGCACATAAAATAAAACTTACATCTAACAAAAGTATTTAAAGAATACAAACTCTACCTTGTTGTGACAATAAGCAATATGAAAAATATCTCCATATGTATAAATAAGAATCACACTGACCATCTACTTAACAAGATACTAAAAAAAACCACACAAAGATTAAAGTGCTAAGTAGCTCAACCTATCATAAAATAGTGCAAACCAAACCAGAAATTATCTGAAATGCTCATCTAAAGGCTTTCCTCTCTGTGCAAGGATCACAAAAATTTAGTCTTGAAATATTAAGTGCTTGAGAAACAGTTTTAAAAAAAAAATGGCACTAATCATTCTTTACTTTTATGTTTGTACTACATAGAACAAAGACTATGTAATACTAAAGAGAAAAAATGTGTGCAATATCCCCATTTAATATGCTACACCAATTAACATGAAAGTGTCAGCTCTAAAAAAAACATTCATTCTTTGTATTCATAGTGATGATGAATCCACTGGTCAAATTGTACCATTATGTATACTCTGTTTAAATTAATTACAGTAAGTTTGCAATAGCTTAAGGTAACATGATTTTACGGATGAACGAGGCACATGATCTGAAATCACGGTCTCACTGTGCCTCATTCAGTTATTTTTCTGACTAGAATTGCAGCTTAAGAACATGTTGGGACTATGCCTCCAACCATATTTAACACCTGTTCTTCTTTCTAGCAACAAAAATCTAAGAAAATGGATGTGTATATTTTCTTTCGCATGTAAGACTTATTCAAATTGAATTTATGGTCTGATCAATCACTTGCTGCAGCCATTTTAAAGCAAATTTACAAAGCTTTTTAGTTCCAGTTGTACTCCAAACTAAAAAGTTCCAATAAGAGAAGCAGCTACAAGCCATATTTTCAACAGAACTGTATTTATCCTCATTTTAAATTGTTCCTCCTCTAGTGGAGTTGCTAGATTACCTACCATTTACAACTGGCCTTCCACTTTGATACCTCTTTTTTCTTCAGGTTATTATTTGAAGAAAACATGGTCATTCTACAAGAAAGAACACAGACTCTCCTATACGAAATATTAAATATTGCATAATAGTTTGTTTCAAATAAAACCTAAACCTATTTCCTTCTTATTATTTGTGTCTACTATGTAACGTCAATACCTAAGACAATGTACACTTGACAACAAGATGACAACAAGACAACTTTCTAATGATCTAATGTTTGCATTTGCACCTAAGTTTTGCTTTCTGTGAGTTATTTGCTGGATAATGCATTCTGAAGGTCAAAATTCATTCATAAAAAGTTCTCAGACATTTCTTTCTGCAAGCTGAAAAAACAAGAGTTTAATTATATGAAAGAGACAGAATGCCTAATATAGATTTTGAAAGGAAATTGGACACTGACCAGAAGCTGTGAAAATTTCGGTTTACAACACATTTTTGAAATTATTTTGATAACATCGTATCTGTTTTGCACGTGATTAATTTCACAGTCATGAGACTATATGGCTCTATTATGTGACAAAATATCACACACCAATAAACAGACAAAATAATAATGTATCTACTCACTGTGGTGCTGCTGTATAACCTGATGACTTAATTTTATTATGGAAAACCACTGGCTGATCTTTCACTGTGCTTTTCACTCCTATAGCAAAATAATTTAATTTCCATTAAAAAGTTTCTTTAATATTGTATTTTTATAGTTAAGGCAGGTAGATAGTTAAGCTAGCAGAGTAGAAATATTTGATGTCTCCTTACATTACAAAACACATTTATGACCAATCACTCTAAAATAATGATTACTGAGAAAAGGAAAGAAATACGAACTGATATGTTGTTTAACATCCCTGTTCCAATGACATCAATGAGTAGCAACTTCTTTAAACTTTGAATTAACAAGAACATTGTTCTGAGGAACTCTTTTCATCATTCATTCACAAATGTGTTTCATATTTGCCTATTTTATGCTTAGACTTTATGTGCAGTAGCAATAATACATTCACACCTTATATTTGGAATATGGAATGCATCTAAAGATCATTAAAGAACTGGCTGGTGGGTATAGATAACTGTTTGGCTTTTCACGTGTTTTAAATCATTAATAATGTCTGCATTCACACTGCTGTGCTAAGAAGCCTGAAGGGCAGCTTCCAGCCCAAAATTGAAAATGAGCATTTTTGTATCAGTAGAAACAATCTAATTAAATAAATGACGTAAAGGGGAAAATCTTGTTGATATTCCCAGGGGAAAACTTCAGGTGCAATGGGAGTGATCTCGTGGGCACATTTACCTATGATGATGATAGCAGCTACTTCAACTCTCACCAGCTATCCTTTCTCTTTATGTAGCAACAAGGCAGAAAAGGGTCCTTTCTGGAGAGCTCCCAGTACCACTTCCTATGAAAGACCATAGGATTTCCTTACAGCACCTAATCTACCTGAGTGTGAGGTGTCAACAAGGGTGGTACAGGCATCAGTGCTGGGTGTTTAAAGCAGCCTGGAATTCTACATAAAACACTCTGATTTCATTCTCAGAGTAACATACAACACTAAAAGTATAGCCTTTGCCATTCTAACAGGTCCAACAAGTACAATCAATATAGTAAATACAGATTGTTTCTCCATGTCTACAGCTACCTATATTTTTATATCTTCCCTAAAGAAAAGGCGGTGATGAAAAAATTAATTTGTGGTTATTTTTTGGACTTTGCTCTACTGTTGCTAAGCAAAGAAGTTGCAGGTGCTTCAACAGCAACTGGAAGTCAGAATTTTATAATTTTTTTTAGCAGTAGAACTTTGAGGTAAAAATTAACTTCTGAAACTTGCAGGTTTTGATAAAGGACTATTCAGGATTAAATTAATTAAGACAGATATCAAAGTTAAGAAAGAAATGACAAATTATACAGGAAAATGTATTGCATGCTATGAAAAAATAATTATTTATGAAAAATGTAAACATTTATTCTGCACTCTGAATCTTTGAAAATCCACAGAAAGTTCTCAGAGGACTGTTTTTAAATGAAGAAAAATACCATATTGGCATCATTTTCACTACAAATACATATATAGGACATTAAATGCTACTAGAAGTATAAAATTCTTCCTAATAAAATAGAAATATAATGCCATATATATTTAAATCAGAAATAAATATATTTATTGTATTAGGCACCAGCCAGTTGTGAGTTGGTTGCTGTTATTAAAAATATAACTTTATTAATTAATTTCAAGGTTAGTTTATACTTACCAAGTGTTTTACCAGACGGTTCTTTCAAGTTTTTCTTTAAAACCTTACACAATGGAGAATTTGCCAATAAAGAACACCTAAGTTATAAAACCAAGCACAAAAATTGATCAATGCAGTGGACAAAAGCATCAGAATAGGAAAAGGTGTCAAAACTCCTTTTTAGCTATTTGAGTGTGTCTGTGTATGTGTATGTGTGATCCCAATAAGATTTTCATAAATACAAATCAGGCATAGTGGATTAGTTATCAGCTCAGATATCCAGCAGCACACACAAGACTTGGCAATTTACAGACCATTGCATTTATATGTTAAATCCCATTTCTGTGAATAATCACAGATTATTGTATTATAAGCACTGAAATCTGCACTTCACTTCAGTGTATATTGTAGGGGTTTTATTGTCTTCAAGATGTCAGTGTTTTCCTGGAAATCATTTACAGGTCCGTGAAGGACAAGAAAGTAGTAGTCAGCATGGATTCAGTCAGGGAAAGTCATGCTTCATCAACTTGATAAACTTCTATGATAAAATTACTGGCTTAGTAGCCAAGGGGAGAGCAGTAGATTGTCTACTTTGACTTCAGTAAGGCTTTCCACGCTGTCTCCTCATAGAAAAGCTGATGAATTATGGGCTGGATGAGCAAATAGTGAGGTGGATTGAAAACCAGCTGAACAGCCAGGCCCAGACAGTGATGGCTAGTGGCACAAAGTCTACTTGGAGGCCAGTAACTCGTGAAGTACCCCAGGCATCAATACTGATGCAATTCCATTTGACATCTGCATTAATAGTAAAGTACCTCAGTAACACCTTTGACAGAATTTTACACAGCATTCTCCTGCAGAAACTGGCTGTTCATGGCTTGGACAGGTGCACTCTTTGCTGAGTAAATAACTGGCTGGATGGTCAGGCCCAAAGAGTTGTGATGAATGGAGTTAAACCAGTTGGAGCTGACGGCCAGTCACAAGTGGTGTTCCCCAGGGCGCAGTGCATTTTACCCAACCTGTACTCACTGGGTTAGGTTACAAGATGAGGAAACTGGCTCAAGAAAGTGCTGTCCTGCCTTTGCAAGATCCCCTTCTCCAACCACAACTTGTTCGACTTCCTCTTATCATGGAAACACATTGGATGACTGTTTGAGACATTTAACCAAGGTTTCAGACTTTTAACCCCATAATTTCCAGACCCTTACAGAGGGTAGGAAGGCTCTACAGAGGGATCTGAACTGGCCCCAAGGCCAACTGTATGAGGTTCAAAAACACTAAGTGCCAGGCCCTGCACTAGGGTCATAACAACCCTATGCAACGCTACAGGCTTGGGGAATAGTGGCTGGAAAGCTGCCTGTCAGAAAAGGACCTGGGGGTGTTGGTCAACAGCCGGCTGAATATAAGCCAGCAGTGTGCTCAGGTGGCCAAAAAGGCCAACGGCATCCTGGCCTGTATCAGAAACAGTGTGGCCAGCAGGAGTAGGGCAGTGATCCTCCCCCTGTACTCAGCACTGGTGAGGCCACATTTCAAATACTGTGCTTAGTTTTGGGCCCCCCACTACAGGAAAGACATTGAGGTGCTGGAGCATGTCCAAAGAAAAGCAATGAAGCTGGTGAAGGGTCCAGAGAAAAAGTCTTATGAGTTCTATCTGAACATCAGGAAACACTTTTTTATTGTGAGGGTGACTGAGCAGTGGAACAGGTTGCCCAGAGAGGTTGTGGAGTCTCTCTCCCTGGAGATATTAAAAAGCCATTTGCACATGGTGCTGGGCAACTGGCTGTAGGTGGTCCTGCTTGAACAGGGCAGTTGGACCAGATGACCTGCAGAGGTGCCTTACCATCTCAACCAGAGGTGCCTTACCATCTCTCAATCTCTCTGTGATTTCTCCCACTCAATACAAAAAAAAAAACATGACAGAAAAACAGGTAAAATAAAACCATGTCAACAAATAGCACTGTACAAAATCATCTGATGCACTTCAGTGTTAGGAAAACAAATGCATCATCCAACTAGGAGGAAAAAAATTTAAAGTTATTCTGTACCTGGCAATAACCGATAGACTGTTTTCATTTCCACATCGGAGAAAATCACTCTGATGAGTTCTCACCAATGCAGCAAGGTTAACTTCCAACACAGCAATAATATCTTCAAACATTGAGGTGATCAAGCATAAAACCTGTAGCAATTATGCCATAAAATAACACTCCATTTACTTCATAATTTAAGTTCTAGCACTGAGGCATTTATAATGGAAAATTAAATCACTTTGTGAGGTTTATGAAAATTAGTCAAAAATAGTTTAGTCCTGCAGAGCATTAAACAGTAAATTGTGGTTAACGCTGTCCTTCAAGAACATGCTTATGTTGTTTAAATATGTCTTAACAAATTTGCATACCTGACAGTCACAGAAATTCCAATACCTTCTACAATACAGATATTTCTGCAGTAAGAGTTGTGAGAAAAGAAGCACACATGGAAGAAAGACTGGTTTCAGAGACATGCTGAGAATATGCTAAGAACTGAATTTAAAACAAAATCTTTCTTTAAAATGAAACACTGCTGTGTTAAGTATGTGGAAAGACCTAGATTCAGATCAGTTCCGTACGAAAATTATAACATCAAAAATGCAGTATACAAACAAGATTCATTTCATTTCCTTAAAAGCACCTTTAGTGACTTTCCACGGAAATTTTCTCACAACTCAAATAGTTTTCACAGATTTCTTTGAAGAATTCAGAAGCAGGTCATCCTAACATCTGTTTGAGAAACAAGGTGCAATAATGCTTATATCTTTTTTCCCTGAAAAGATTGCCTCTTCTCCCCCAGTGGTCGTTCTTGTCATTCAGGGTACACACCAAGCACTTTTATAGTGTTCACCTTTTGCTTATTAATCACTTTGGACAGTACACAAACTGTGAGAGCTATAAAACTACCCAGCTATTTAAACTAGTAGATTCCATAAAGGAAGAATCCTCTCCACAGAAACTACTGTGCAATTCACATCAAGCAAAACAAATGTGTACTATAATCTGTAAAAAAAATACATAATTAATATTTATTGAAAATAACTGCAAATGTAAACATCCATTAAATCAATGTTTACTGTATACTTACCTTTCCATTAATTGCCTTCCTTGTTAATGCACACGATCCAGCAAACTGAATGCTGAGGTCACTACAATCTTTATCAAAAAGAACATAGTGCTATAAAATCTTATTTGCATTTCCAGATAGAAAAAACTATCACAAAGACAGGAAATAAAAAATTGCTTATACTAATTTGACACCACCACAATCCATTCTATCCAGTGTATAGCTTTCTAGCTTACCCCCACATAGAAAAGGAGTACAATAACATTCCTTGTATTTAACATTCATGAACTGCAAAATTGTATAAAAATTCACTGCTAGCCACTACAGAAATCTAGCATCGACACATCTTCTGAGACAAGTCAGCAATGCCATAAAAGCATATAAAAATAAATTAGAAAAATGTTTTTAAAAAGCCATTTAGTTTCTACTGTATTCTGCTATTTCACAAGCTAATTATAATACTATTTATATCAGATAACAAAGGAAAACAATTACGTTACAGTGTAGTCAGATATTGTATAATCATACCTTTGTAAGTTAAAAAACCTTCTAATTCAAAGTTTGCCAAATCAATTATTAACAAGCCAGTAGAGCTTCCTATCAAAAAATGGCGAGTATTCAGGGCAGAAGTTCTATTTTAAAAAGAGAAGAGAAAAAAAATATCCGAGTATGATAAAGAAGCTTTTCTTATTACCCTACATGACACAGCTACTGGGTTTTTTAACACTTTCAAACCAATCCCAGTACAACAACAAAAGACAAAAAAAAAACCAACTGCATTGTTTTTTAAACCTGTAGCTCAAAGTAAAAATTTTCAATCAAATGGTGGTCTTGAAAACTAAGAACAGAACACAATCCTTGATTTTATGTAAGAGCTCATAGCAAGACAGTATAAGAAATTATTTTCTTCACCACAGTGATGTAACACTTTTTTTAATAAAAAAAAAAAAACAAAAAAACAAACCAACAAACAGAAACAGAAACAGTCAAATACCTTAAAAAGCAAACTGGGAAAGATACTTTCAGCTCTAGTTTGAGATACTTCTATGTCCTCTGTATAGTTTTATTGGCAGTTTGCACTACTTTCACACACGGCAGTAACACACTAATCCAACTTGTGAATTCTTTTAATTATTTATAAAAGAGTGGCACTATCAAGTTATTATGAACAATGATATCAAGTGATACAGGAATTTGATCTCATGACCACTTTACAATAATAAAATGTCATGCACTGTGATGAAATCACTCAGTGTCAAAAAGCTTAGGGAAGTATAAGACCCATAATTTTTTGCACTTCTGTGTTGCAAAAATGGTGTATTGTTGCATTTCATCGCAGGCAGGAAATTAATAAATCAAGGATTGCTCAATTGTTCAGACAAATCAGAAGCACCAACATGGCAATTTAAAAATTAAACTACATAAAAAATAATTCAAAATATAAAACTCTAAAACCAAAAGATAATGGAACTGGATTAATATAAGAATTTAATGGTGACCATTGTATATAAGCAGAAGAAAACCTCCAACTGTGATGAAATAGCTGAACGGGTAAATAGCCCTTAGATGTACAATGCCAGGAAGTACCAGGTGGGTATTGGAAAGAGATTTTATCTAAGTCCAGAAAATTATTTCTGCTCCTGTGGATCCATTTCAGGCAACCATGGCCATAAAGGGCTTTGAAAAAGAAGTGAGATTGAATTTCAGAAAAAGCAAATGTTAAAAATGTTACAGAAAACATGCCTTACACAAGGTGCAAACTGTTTTATCCAGAAGTGTAGAGATAACTTTTTCATGAGCTATAATTTGCTATGCAAGGAAGGAACTTGATAGCAGCTGGCTCTAGAATATCAGAATAAAAAACTACCTGGCCAATCAATTCTATGGCAAGGAATAAAAACATCATGCTTTGAAATGTCTGTCTCTCTAACAGAAGTTTGTCTAGAATAGGTTATGTAGTTCAAAAGTTATTTAAATTGGGAAGGCAAACTGGCACAGGAACACAGTGACTGCATCAGACATTTCTTTAGGAGAGCAAACTAAAAAGAAATTTGGCTTTTTCATTCTAATTGGCTTCTTAATTTTTTTAATTGATCTTCCCTGATCAACTGGTATCAACAGATGCTAAAATGGATATTCCTAATGCCATTTTTATAAAATGATTTTTCAGACTAGAAACCAGTTTTAACTTTGTATCAGTTTGTGTGTATTATTTGCCTAAGAGTAGGCCACTGAAACTTGCAGATCACTAAATACATTCTTTGATTCTCCTATAGCATTTTTTTAAAAAATAGTAAGTTGCAGTGAAAATAATCCAAGAACCAAAAAGAACTAGGAACAGATTCCAGTCAAATACTTGGTGGTATTTTAAAGGACTTACATGTTTTCTTCGTTATGGAAACATACTAAAAAGTCACAGTGTTCAATTAAGAGGATAGGCAACGACGTTTCCACTGATCCTTCTGGTCTCCTGTTGTTTGTTTTGCAAAGCTTGGAAGTATTTTGCCCTTTACCTGAGAAAGACAATCAACAATACTAGCTACCAAAAAAACCCAATGAAATAAGGGAAACAGATAGGATTTAAGAGAGAATCAGAAGTAGTAAAGTAGCATGAACTAAGACCACACTCAAGAAGTTGCTATTTCAAAAGACAGATATATCCTAGGAGTCAGCCCTCTTGAAATATCTTTCCTCACTATTACGTTCTTTTTAGTACTGTCTTCTTTCAAACACAGAGAGAGAAAATCCAAAGAGCCTACTTAAGGACTGAAAAGGAGTTGAGGGAATTTAGGTGTGTTCATATCAAAAAGTGACTCTGAAAGTCATATTCCAACAACCTTTAAATACACTGGTACCTTTCTGCTTAGCCTGAAAATTCCTTTGACACTAAATTTACAAGAAAATCCAAAAACAAGATGGAAAGCCACCTCTCTTTCATCTTCACAAGGAGCCTCCAATCCACTGTGCACGTGCAGTTCACACCTAGGAACTACTAGCAGTGAATTCAGCATTTGGCACAGACACTCCTTCACTCTTTCAAACATACAAAGATGAAAGTGACATCCATATATTTTAAATAACAAGAAATGTAGTAGTCTTTCTCATTAGATTAGGATTACTGAAGCTGGACCACTAGGCAGCTAAGAATACAACAGTCATTGGAGCCACAAAAAGAGCAAGCAAGTGAAACCAGATCTCTTTTTCCATAAAGAAAATTCCCTCTTGCTTGCCTTCAGGAGGAGCTGAACTCACTTCAGCTGGTGTGCAGGGAGTCTGAATGCCTCATTTGGGAACATGAAATCACCTTGCTGAGCTTACCAGTGCAGTCTTTAAAGACTTATAAGTATTCTGTGTTACACCACTAGAAATATCACAGCAAGATAAATATCATATCATGGAGGCACTGGTATGGATTAAAAAGAAAAAAAAAGAAAAAAAAAGAAAAAAAAAAGAAAAAAAAAAAAAAAAAAAAAAAAAAAAAAAAAAAGGAAAAAAAAAAAAAAGAGAGAGATTCCTAAAAGAGAGATTCCTAGAAGCTTCAAAGGTAACTGAGAAATGGTACTCCACATAGACAATGGATGAAATTTTAGGCACCAATTCTGTTCACACTTAAGCCTTAGGCAATGACTTCAATAAAACCCAAATACTTAATAGTTCACATCATGCAATGTTTTATAAGCAGATGTATTGGCCAAGATTATATTACAGACATACATGCATAATTCTTTCCAGATATGCCAATACCCAACTTCATACCAGCTTCAGCAAGAATTCCATACCACAGTCTGAGACTCATAACTTCATCACTTATAACAAATTCTCATGGTATAAAAAGCATGCACTCAGTAGCCGTTAACAACTAGAATATATCATAAACAATACTCTAAAAGTGTTACCTATTTCTTTTCCAGATTTACACACTTTATTGCAGAATTTCTCTTGCTCTTTCTTTAGGTTGATATGTGTCACACAACGATAATTATGATCACTGACTAAACTGAAGATCCAAAGCTGCAAGAAAAAGAAAAAGCAATTGCAATAACCTTTGACATGAAACATAAAGCTTACATGAGTACAAATGAAAGGTCCAATGTTTAAAACTGTTGATGTGACTAACGAATTTTTATTATGTGATCTCACCTTAGACCAGAATTTAATTATATGCATTTCTAAGATTATCAAAGGATATATTCAATATTAGCAAAAGTAGCCATTACCAATTTGAACTGCACATATAATTCCCACGTTTATGCCTTGAGAAAAAAAAAAACTCATAGATTATTTCCCACAATTAAAAATTGCAGGTAACCTGTAAGCAATAGCTCACTGAGTCATGTACATGAATTTAATCTATATCTTTCTCTTTTCAGGCACCACTATCATTAAATCTTTAATTTTCGTTGCAATTCGCTAAACAGTAACACTGAAGGAAAACAGCTAGAAAATCTCACATAAATATATTCTTAAAATTAAATTAAAAGAGGTGAAAAACATATTCACATTTATCACATTTTGATTAGAATTCCAACATGTTGAAATCATATCTTCCATTTATTGTCATTGTTTCATTCTTTGGCCAAAAGAGAAGAATCCTATTTTTCACCTTTTTTCTTTTGAAACAGATATATTTATAGCCTCTCAGTGTACTCCTCTTATATAATCACTGATTGTGCTCTTAAAAACTTTCCTGGTTTTCAGGGAAAGGTTTCCATTTCGTAACAGAGGTCTTATATACCATACATGATTTATGTGCAAAACATTGAATTACGCTTACTAAAATAACTGTTGCAACAGTTCAAAACATGTATACAGATTGTGAAGTTTTTTTTATAGACAGATATATTAATAATAGTTGACTGTTTGACACAGAGACTAAGTTTAATGGGTAATTCTTACCTGTCCTTCAGCACATCCAGTGATAATTTGTTTATTTTCTTCATCAATTAGCAGACTTAGCAAAGGAAATGCTGCTTCAAAAAAGATAAAATTATTTCCAGACTATTCACAAATCAGATATTAAATTTAATCCTCCTCTTCACAAAGACAGGTGAAAAAGCCCTTACTGCAATTCCTACGGTTGCACAACGCTTCATGTGCCTTAGCCCGTGTGTCGTTAAGGGCTTTCCGTTGGCAGCTCTGTGGCCTGCCTTTCTCCCAAGCTGCCATGGCAGTGCTTTTCTGCACCTTTTCACCCAGGCTGCTGTGGCGTGGTCTTCAGACCTCCTGTGGCAGCAGTTTTCCCTTGGTGTTCCCTTGTTGTTATTCTCATGGCCTTGCACCTGCAAACCCTGATATAAGGCAAGTTTTCAAGGGAAGCTATTGTCACAGGCAACCGGGGCGAGTCACCTCTTCTTCCTCTCCTTTCCTACCATGGGAGTTTAGCTTCTAGTTTACATGAGTTCATCCAATAATATGTATGCACAAAGCTTAGCACCCTATCTCCACGCAGCTCCTGCCCCCAGAGTGTGCTCCAGTCACCACTAACTAACCACTAACCAGCACCACAAGCAGGAGCAACAGAAGGAGAGTTTGAGCAGGTCCTGTTGAAAACTCTACGGTTCCTGTAGGAAAAGTACTACAGCAGGAGGGGTCCCTGCTGCACTGAAGACAATGCTTGCCCTGCTCCTCTTCCCTCCTTTTGCTCTCATCTTTCCACAAAAGTAGCTTTCACTTTTAAAGTCAGCATATGCCATCAGCTACAGACACTATTAATAAATCTACATATGGTATAATTAAAGTATTTCCTTCCATACACAAAACTTGAAAGAAAACAAGCACATAGTACCCAGACAGTGGAACTGTACCTACAAAACAAGAGAGTTGCATTTATGTATCTCAGTAAATGGCAACAGTTACATGCACACCCTGTACAAAAATAGCTATTGATGAAAGCACACTACTACTACTATCGACCCAGAAGTACACTTTGAAGGCAAATATATTTGTTACTTGCTTTAAAGGATAATATGTTTACTGCTAGCTAGTCTACTAGAATTATTTTCACTAAATCAACTAAATAATTCTATAATAATTTATAGTATTGTTTAGACATAGATTTTTTTGCTATGAAAAAGTGCATATACAAAAGAAAACTCACCCGTTAATACTGCTGACTGATATATTAACTGGCCGGTAGAATAGTCCCACACCTTTAGGGGGAAAAAAAAAAGAAAAAAGAAAAAAAAAAAGTAAAGATAGGCACCTACTCAGATCTTTAAGGAAAACACAAACTTCAACGGCCATCATGTGGTGAAAACTGTGAAATGCAGCCATTGTAAGCAAGTGACGCAATATGGTAAGGATTTTTTTCAGCATTTTTTTCTAGCTACGTAGGGTTTTATTTAATTGCTAACTGTCCACAGTGAAAAAGGTGAAACTCACCTGTTATGGATGCACAAAGTAATTTGAAGTATTTATTATCATCTTTCCTTAGGTTGATCTCTTAGTGACTTAAGCTAAATTAACAAAAAGACTTACTTGAACTGTTTTTAGTTTTCACACAGGGAGCTTGCATAATTTCACAATTTTCATATTGGGCTCTGGGATAAGATGTCATTATTAATAATAATGTTATTTATTATTATCTATAGACCCATATATAAGTTCACTTTCATTATTAACGTGACTGTTTCTAAGTGATGTATTCTATGCTTAATAGTTAATGAAGAAATCAAAATAAAACCAAATTTCTCTTCTCTTGTTGCTACTTCTATGATCCTTCAACTCCACAAATACTTCCATGATGTTTATCATAGCTATGACAGCTGGGATGACAGCCAGACAGTCCCTGCTTTCTAAACATGGCTGTGAGCCTTTGTTTAGATCCCAAGATTTTGTCTTTGTTCATGTTTCATTTTTCTCTGAATGTAAACATCATTCTTCTGAAAAGCTGTTTCCTAAGATCTTGCTTCACAAATTTATCTGAACATATTCTCATGTATTTGACTTGTTTAGCCAAGTAAAAGGGCCAGGGCAGCATAAGGGTTTGGATACTGCAAGTCCTGCAATCACAAGAGCCAACTATTATAGACTCCAGCATGACTGTCCTCAGGGAATTACCCCTGATCTGCAGAATCAGGCAGAGAACATAAAACTTGAAGACTTACTGAATTATCTGAGAGACTTGCAAAGTATTTTCATATGACTGTCATTTTAGCTCCAATATTTATCAAGGTTAAAAAAAACCCCACCCTTATTCATTAGGATTTTGTGTAATTTATCAAGTCTTCATTAAATTAATAAGAGGAAGTACATAGATCTTTTCCTTCAGTCATTTTTACCTTGGTTTAATTTCTTAGATCAACATAAACTAAACAAGAAAAACTCAATCAGAAAGCCAGAATTATTAATATTTCCTAAAATTCTAATTAAATCTTTAGGTTTTGGTTTGCCTGGGGTGTTTTGGTTTGGTTTGGTTTTTTGTCCAAGACCAGGAAAAAACTCAAAATCACATTTTCTCCAGAACAAAAAGTTACATAAAAAATAAATTTAGAAAAAAAACAAAAAACTTTTAATACAGCAAAATTTAATTTTAGCTTGTAGAATCTAATTTTGGGCTGTCTTTAGAAGCATATAGAGGACAATAGACTAAACTGTATGTAAGCAAGGTTCCCACCCCAGCATCTCCTGGAAGATAAACCTAGGTTCACTCAGGCTCGTTATTTCCCTTACTGTCTAAGTTGTCTTCAATTGTCATCATGTCCAGCAGCAGCAATCCATGGTGTCATCAGATAAAATGTTGCCTGGTAAAAACATCCTAGCAGTATGCAATAACCCAGCCATTGCATGCAATAACCCAGACCAATATTCCCGAGAGCAAAAATTTCAACCAGTGTCATCAGACTGAAAAGTAAATGCTTTCATTCAGTTCAGATACTGAAACACTTCAGTTACAGCCAAGCTGATCAAAATATTTTATATCCATTTGCCAGATGATAATAATCACCAAACATAACACATCACTGTAGAAAGTTCTGAAAATACAAAACCTCTGTTGTTCTTTTGAAAGAGTAATGAATTTTTACAATAATTTCCCAAGCAACTCTAAGAACATCTTGATCTCTATAAAGTCAAAGATTTTTTTGTTTAATCTTCAGAAAATATTTAAAGGGAAAAAGACAACTTCATAGACTCACTAAATTATATTTTTTAAAAGTGCAGCTCTACAATTTCCTTGCCTTAAAGGTTCTGTCTTCTGACACTGATATAAGCATACTTTTCTCCCATGTGCAAAACTCGGCAGCAGTCACTGGAGCCAGGTGGCCATTCAATTCAGCTAGTACAGCTTTCTTCTGTGGTGAGTCAAGTCAAAATAGAAACAGATTAGATTTCAAACCAAAAAATTAAAATTAGTCAAAAGTTTTAATAACTGTTGCTAAAAATTGTCAGATTTTGATTCAAAACATTAATCCAATGAGGTTTTTCTTATTGAAACTACAGCCCTGTATATCACCCTGCTGGCAAAACCACTACATGTTACATCTGCTTCTTCAGAATGAATGTTACAGGAGTAATTTTTCAGATGCCCTGATAATATTTTCTTCTTCTACGTTATTTGGATATTGTTTCACTTCAACTTTTTAAATCTAGTTTTCTATCTGGTATATGATGCATTATCAAGTATTAGTTCATAATTATTTCCAACTACATGAGAAAATTTAATGCTTTTGCTTAATTATTCTGACATTTCTGTGTCATGATTTTATTTAAAAGTGAATAAATTAAAGAAATACCAGCACCATGGCTACAAAGAATGGTATCTCACCTTGGCACTTAACATGTAGATCTGATTTCCAGCGCATACTGCCACTTGCTGATCATCCGGACTAAATCTTACATGAAGCACTATTCCCAAAAGAGTTCCTATAACAATTCCTTGAGCTGTTAACCCTGCAGAAATTTTGTTGTTATTGAGACTCAATGAAAAATAAAAGTCCGGTGCAGTGAGATTCTTAGAAATTTTGCACAGCAGTTATCTAAACACAGAGCTATCCCAGTTACCATCAGGAAGATGTACAGAACAACCACAGTTTAATTTTACCAGGCTATTGGAAAGCAAAGCATGGAACGATGTGCCAGCAGGATTCCTCCCTCTGCCTTGTTGCCTAGACATGATCTGGTACTCCTCGAGACACTAATAATAAGTGTGCCCACCAAATCATACTTCGATTGAAGAATGTCAGGGACAGGATTTTTGGAGTAGGGTGATGTGCCCAAGGAAGCCAGTAGTGCCATGTTCTATTTTGAAAATGAAATCCTGACTGAAGCCCAGCAAAACAGCGGTTTGAAAAATATTTCTTTCAGGAGAATGTCCCAGCCACTCAGCCATAAAGCAAGGGGGACTTTCATTCTCTTGGTTTTAATTCTTCTGTGGGAAAGTGCTGAAAGAGGAAGTACACCACTAAATATCATTAGAGTCAGATGATAAGACTACCTTTGAGAAAAGGCTCGTGTTTCATCGCTTTCTTCACGACTTCATTCTGGTCATCTCACTGATTCAAGCAGTCTGGTTTCTGCAGATCCCTATTTTATGATGCTACCTTTAACTACGTGAGGAGATTTTGGACATCTCATTACATTTTACAATTTCATAGGCAATAAGTTAACTAGGATACAGGCACAACACCTACACATATCCTTTTCTAGGTTTTATCCTAGATGTTGTGGAGTGTTTCTATAACTGATTAATGTGTCAGGATCTACCAGGATGGAGAGATGGATGACACAAAGAACTCTTTAACTACCTTGAAGCATTTGATAAGAATATGGTAGAGAAAACATGCCAAGACTGTGCAGAGCACAGTACAAGGAGAGAAAGACTACACAGCATCTGCTGAAAAGCATGTGGATAGAGAGAAAAGGAGAAAGAAAAAATCCATCAGCAGAGAATCCGGGTCTCAAATACCTTTGCATTAAAACCACATACCCTATCTGTCTGCTACTGTCTATTGCTAGCTTCCATGTGTGTTTCCTCCAAACTCACAGTCCCATTTTATGGGACTTCGATTCTCTGTGTTACTCTTACATGGATAAAAATGTAATAATGACATTTATTATAAAAGCTCTTAAAACATTCACCTTCCTTTACAATATTAATTTTCATTATACGTAGATTTGCAAATTCAGTGTGGAGTACAAGAGACAACTGCCACACATTAAACTATAGGAAAATCTCTAACTACAGGCAACAAGGAGGAATCTTTTAATAGTGCTGGACAATGCCATGTGGCTCTCAATATTGACACCAAAGGGAGACTGTAATATCTCTCAATTATCATGCCATAGCAATATATTTTGGACAAAGTGTAATTGGGACTCCAGTGAGTCGCGAGTCTGGGGGTCTTGCACCCTTGCTTTCTCTTTCATTATTCCTCTGCTCTCCCACTGAAATTCCAACTCCTCTAATCTTTGAGGAAGAGATAGCACTGATCCCTAGAATCTAACTGAACTGGTTGAAGCTCCAAACCGAAATGGTGGTCAGGATACTAGAACTTCTGCTTTATTTGTGTTAGGTTATCATAACTCTCTTTCACTCATGCACTCCCCTCCCAAATCAGATACCCGCATTGCTCACACACACACTACAACAGCCTTTCTGACAGAGGCAGGAGTGCTGCTACGATTAAAAATTTCGCTGTCCCTTTCATTCCACAGTGGCAGAAGGTAACTGCCTTTGCAGCGCTTCTTCGCGTTTCCCTGGAGGTCGCTAGCGCCCGCCCGTTCCAGCGCAGCACCTTGGCCAGCTCCCGGAGCCGCCCGCGGGGCCGCCAGCACCCGCCCGCGCC